CAACGATCGCGCGAATAGGCCAAAAAGAACGCCAAAAGCCCGTGCGGGTTTTCCCTTTTCAGCGACATGACTGTCGGGGCTGCTCGGGATGAGCTATGACTGCCAGTCAACAGGATTTTTTATCATTAAAATATAATAAAAAAAACACTGCTACTGTTGCGCGGCATGCAGCGCCCAAGCAATATCATCCTTGATATCTTCAATGTTTTCAAGGCCGACCGAGATGCGGATTAGATCGGGAGTGACGCCCGATGCCAATTGCTCTTCGGCAGACAACTGCTGGTGAGTGGTGGCAGCAGGCTGAATGGCCAGGGTCTTTGCGTCGCCAACATTGGCCAAGTGAGACACGAGCTTTAGGGACGAGATGAAGGTGTTTCCGGCAGCACCGCCACCCCTAATGCCAAAGCTCAGCACGCCGCCAAAGCCATTGCGCAAGTATTTTTTCGCACTCTCGTGGTAGGGGTGGTCCTCTAGACCTGGATAAGAGACCCAAGTGACGGCCGGATGCTGGGCCAGCCATCTAGCTAGCGCCAGGGCGTTAGAGTTGTGTCGCTCGCCACGCAGCGACAGGGTCTCTAGGCCTTGGACAAACAGCCAGGACGCAAGAGGCGTGGCGCAAGGGCCCAAATCGCGCATAGTCTCGACACGCGCACGGAACAGAAAGGCGACATTGGCGCCGAATGGCCCGTCGGGACCAAAGGTGTCCCAGAACTTTAGGCCGTGGTAACCCTCTGAGGGCTCGGTGAAGGCGGGGAAGCGGCCATTATTCCAGGGGAAGGTGCCTGCATCAACTACCACGCCGCCTATGGTGGTACCATGGCCGTTGATCCACTTTGTGGCAGAGTGAGTGACAATGTCGGCGCCGTGCTCGATGGGGCGGGCGATGTATCCGCCCATGCCAAAAGTATTGTCAACAACCAGAGGCACTCCATGTCTGTGCACAGCGTCGGCAATGGCGCGGATGTCAGGCACATTGTACTTTGGGTTGCCAATGGTCTCAATAAACACGGCGCGAGTTTTTTCGTCAATGAGCGCCTCGATCTCTTTGACGCTATCGCCGTCAGCAAAGCGGACGTTGATGCCAAGGCGAGGAAAGGCGACTTTGAACTGGTTGTACGTGCCGCCGTACAAATAGCTGGTGCTGACAATGTTGGACCCGGCTTCGCACAGAGTAGCTGCGACTACAAACTGGGCAGCCTGGCCTGAAGACGTGGCTAGAGCGCCTACACCACCCTCTAGAGCTGCGATGCGCTTCTCAAACACGTCCGTGGTGGGGTTTCCCAGGCGCGAGTAAATGTTGCCAAGCTCTTTGAGCGCAAAGAGGTTGGCGCCATGCTCGGCGCTGTCAAAGACAAAGCTCGATGTCTGGTAGATGGGCACGGCACGGGCGTTACTGGCAGAGTCTGGTGTGTGCCCGGCGTGCAGCGCTAGCGTTTCAAAGCGGTGCTTGCTTGGCAGTGGCTGCTGCTGCTGCTGCTGGTCGGCGTCGGCGGTAGTGGAGGACATGGTGAATACAGGGGCTGTTGATAAAAGAAGAGAGAAAATAAGAGATGCAACAATGATCAAGTGCAAATAAATGATAACAGCCTGGATGATAAGCCAATAGACAGACGCAGTGATGACGCAACTGGTGGCCAGGAACACGCACATCCCATGTGGCAATCTAATCACACGTTATTAAATCTGCAGATGTGATGGCAGAGGCAGTGGCGCAGACCATTCGGATGGCACCAGGGTAACCAAAAAGGGCATATTTGCGTGAGGCTGCATATATTACTTTTTTATTTTTCTCCAATACATGCCAATCTCAAACTCTGATTCGGAAAAGCAGGAGGACAAGCGCATTGCGGGTGCGCGCTGCGGGCGGCCATAGATGGTCAAATGAATTTTGGAGCTTTGTATAGAGCAGGCCCTGCCGCGCCACCTGTCTTAATGGGGGGTGTCGGAAGCAGGCAGATGATTTAGGGAGTGTTGTGCATCAAAGAGCGTGTCTGTGCGGGTGCAGATCGCAGCGGCTGATATGACATGTATTTATTGCGAATGAAGATATAAACATTTGGTGGTGAAGTGTTTCGTTTTGTTTGGTTGCAGGGGAGAGGGCGGCAGCAGTGCTTGTCGTCGTGGCCCAGCCACTCTGTACCAGAGCGACCCCTCCCCTTTTCCTTCTGCACTTAGTACGGCGCAAAACGCGCGCCAGACAATGGCACAAGGCTATTGTGGGACCAGCCCAGCATGCTCTGAGCCTGCGTGCGCTGGCGGAGGGTGGTGGCCAGACTAGGCAGGCGAGGCAGCGGCAGTGGCACTTGGGCTGATGCAGCCTTGGACAGCACGCCGAGGTAGTCGGGCAGCATGGCAGGGCTGGGCTCTGGCGAGGGAGAGTCTGACTCTTGGCGCGTGCCGCAGTTAAGAGGCGGTGTGGGCAGACCGGCAGTAGATCCCAGCGATGACATGGTATCGGACCTGTTGGACCGGCACGTGGACGTCGGGTACTGCAGCGGTCCACGCAGGATGTTGGCCAATGCGTCGTCACCCCAGCGCGAGTTGGCAGGGGCAGGGGCAGGGGCAGGGGCATAAGCGTAAGCATGGTATGGGCGCGAGCTGGGGCACTCTGCAACACATAGGCGGGGAAAGTCGCCAGTAGCGTCCAGACAGGCGCTGTGTTCCAGTAGCAGAGGAGGAGTTTCGCTTTGGAAGGACGACATGTGCGCCCTATGGTGGCTGCTGAGCGCGCTCTTTGTGCAGAACTGCTTGTTGCAGCTGTCGAACGAGCACACATACGTGCGCTTGCCACTATGTGTGTGCCGGTGCCTTGCCAGCGACGACGAGTCGCTGAAGCGCTTGCCACAGTTTGGCTCTTTGCAGCAGTGCGGCTTTTCGCCCGAGTGAGTGCGCAGATGCACGGTCAGAGCTGACTTTTGCACAAAGCGCTTGCCGCAGTCGCTGTAGCCGCACTCGTAAGGCTTTTCGTTGGTGTGGATGCGGTAGTGCCGCTTGAGGTCCGACTTGCGCGTGAAGCTCTTGATACAGTCTGCCCATGAGCAGTGGTGCGTGCGCTGCTTGTCGCCTTGTAGCGAACCGTCGGTGATCTCTCTGATATCCATTAGTCTGTTGGGCGTGAGTTTCGATGAGGGCGGAGGCCGAAATGCGGTGGTGGGTGGTTGAGAAAATAAAAAAGAGGGGGGAGTGAGTTACTGGGTGTTACACATTGAAAACGGGGGGAGAGAAAAGAGCATAGAGCAAGGGGAGTAATGGAGGTAGGGCCGGGGAAGAGGAGAAGAGGGCCGGGTTAGCGGCTATTATATAAGGGCCTGAGGAGGGAAGGAGAGCAGACTGAGAGCCCGGCCAGGCGCACCTGGATTGTCATAACCCGATGCGTTGCTGCATCGCTGCTTCGTCATGCACGACAAGACTAAAAAAGGCTTTGCTGCCCACATCCCCAGTTTGGAGTCTGAAAACCCTCTTGGCGCAGGTGGGCAGCAGGGGGTGGGTGGCTCTCTCGCTCAGTCCTTTTTTCGCTCTTTCTTTCTTTCTCAATGATTGCTGTTGAAGAAACGCCTGGGCGTATAATCGGACGCTCCACAATGACCATCCCCTCCCCGCTTGCTGCTTCAGCTTCACTTTCAGCTTTGGCTGCCCTTCCAAACATGCCGTTCCATGCTCAAAGCCACTCGATGCCCGTCGGCTAAAGCGCGGCGCCCGCCTGATTGTGCCATAACCACAGCTTCCGCATTTGGCTTAATTGCAATCCCAGCCTCCTTGTCTGCCCACCCTCCCCCAAACGCCCGTCCATTATTGCTGCAGCGCCGCTGCTGCTGCCCAAGGCAACACCTGTCGTCTGCTCTACCCAATCGACAGACAAGCAAAAACAAAAGTATAATTGCTACTATTGCCATTCGCTTGCTCGCCTTGCCGCACCGACAACCCGGTCGCCCACCATCCCAAAACTCTAACCACGCGAGCGTGGCGTTCAGCACTCGCACTACTTTTTCTTTCTTCCCTTTAGTGTGGTAGACCAATCGTCTCTTGTTCTCACTCTTGCCGCATTCAACCAGCGCCAAACAAAAGCGCCTCTTGAGCACTACTTTATTTTTTCTTCTTCTTTTTGGCGCCTTGTTTTACTCGCAAATAATGGCGACGCCGGATATTGACCCTCCCGTCAGCACGCAAGCGCCGGTCCTTGTCTCTGCCATTGCTGCCCTGCGCGTTGTATGTGCCTGGCGTGAGTGCTCGGCTGAATTCGACGCTATGCATTCGCTTGCCTCGCACTTGTCCATCTCTCACCTCGACTCTGCCCCTCACGCCAACAACCACGCCTGCATGTGGCAAGGCTGCCCACAGTATGGCGTCCCTGCCCCCACTCGCTACGACTTGATCATGCACTTGAAGGTGCACACGGGCGACCGCGCCTACCTGTGCCCCTTTGACGGCTGCCACAAAAGCTATATCCGCTCAGAGTTTCTGCCTCGCCACATCACCACCACGCATGCCAACTCGGACGCCGCTGCTGCCTTGCTCTCGACACGCCAAACTCCAGTTCGCGCCAAGCCACCGCGTCGAGCTGCCCCGCCTCGCGCCGAGCCCTTGACAGTCATCTCTGACTCTGATTCTGACAGCGATTCCTATCACCCTTCTTCCAGCGAAGCTATGCTCGAGGCCCAGCTGGCGTACATTCGCGAGCAAGTTGAAGACCGCACAAAAAAGCTGACCCGCATCAAGGAAAAGTCGCGCCGCCTGCGCATGGAGAATGATATTCTGCTAGACGCAATTGAAAACGCATAAACAAAAAAGATTGTTCCATGCCAGGGTAAAACCAAATAAAACCATTTTACAAAAAAAAGGCTGCTCCATGCCAGGCTCGAACTGGCGACCTTCGCGTGGCTCCTACATAAGGGTATTACCTCATAAGCACGACACTCTGCCAAAACTGAGTTAATGGAGCTAATTTGCTATTTCATGCTTCTGGACTTTTGGCTCCTATTTAAACTCCACATTCGCCGTTATAGCATACTTATTTTAAATTAAAAAACAGGGGTTGGAGGTATTAGCTTGCTGGGGCGGGAGAGCCTCCAATTCCTCTGCGCGGTCTACGACTTTGCAGATTGTCC